AAATTTCCTCTGTCGAAGTTAACAATTGCTTAGTGCTAAATGTATTGTATATTTTCTGGATAGTGTGTATGTGTTGATGACCGAGTGTAAACTTTATTATGTGAGTGACTGCGTCCTAATCTGTGAATAAACAATATTCAACAGGTGTGATGGAAGGCTACACGTGTGTGTTGAAGCGTCCTTAGCTGATCAAATGCTTCACGCATTGTATGAGTTATCAGATGCGTGTAAATGTGTTTAACGGAGTGTTACTCGTGGTCTATCGGGCGCCAAGATTACTCACTCGATCGTAGTTGAGAAACTTGAGACTAGTATCACTGTTGAAACAAAATATACGAAAGCCATTCAGATGGACAGTTCATGTGCATGAGGACATTGCCACTCATTGAAGCAGTTATATGATATAGGTAATGCTAATGGGGGGGGTGTATATAATATCTGGTGTTGTTCTGGCTTAAGTATGTCTTTTACAAATTATCAGATGTAAAATGGCAGTGTGATCTGATCTGACCTTAAATAATGTTGTAAATGTATTACATTGTTTCGTTAAGATTCAGAAGTTCATAACAACATAATTAGTTGCCAAGTGTTAGTATCTAATGTAAGCAGTGTTGTGAAAACTTCTATACTTATAATTAGATGCTGGTTTAGTCAAGTGTAGTCGGGAATCCTCTGCAATGTTAACTTGTTTGATAGGCATTACTTAGAAGTTGGCGGATGACAAGATAGACACAATTTTATGGATAACAACTTCTTTAATACTGTAAAAAGCGACGTTTCGGTATAGATCCTTATACCGTTGTCAAGCAAGACAACGGTACAAGGATCTATACCGAAACGTCGCTTTTTACAGTATTAAAGAAGTTGTTATCCATAAAATTGTGTCTATCTTGTCTCTGCAATGTTGTAGCACATGTAGTCAAATCAAGCACCGTAGGGAACCTTCCAGAAGGGATTAAGACTATATAAGGGGGCATTACATCTAGACATGCGATTGTGTAAAGACAAACATTTTTAAACAAAGTTCTGTCGGAAATGCTACAAAAATGCTTTACTGGCTTCATTTAATAAATACAAGTCATAGGACTATAAAAAGGGCATATATCAAAATAACGCAAATTGACCTAATCTATCCTGTCTTAAGTGACATTGTGTTTACCCTTAGAATGTTTTTTCACAGGTAAAATGATGATAAACTAGCCTATAAACTGAGATAATTACCTAACACCTATCCCGAGGTGATGACCTCACACCGGCCCGTGCATTATCACAGGTGCAAATGTCAGCGAGTTGGGGGTCTCAAAATATTGCTGTTATTGTACTTCATTGATGAGCGTTTATGGGGTAGCAAAGAGGTATTTGCAGTTCTACATATGGTTTCTTCAGGTAGCATTTATCTCCGCTGATGGCTTCTATATAAATCTGTACTTTTGAATATTGTGTTATGTCTTGCCACGAACCCTTTACACTTAGCCAAGATGGGCACAGCAGGGTTGGCCTCAAAATGTCCGACTGGCGAACTCAAGCATCGTGGCCCTGTTGTGCCGCCAGCAAATATGTCTTGAACTTTACTGGTTTCTTATTCAGCCGAATTTTCTCCATGAGTTGAACTTTCGTTTCATATGGTCTGAAGTCGACAATGGCTACTCATGGTTTAGGAGACAGTATCTGATTACCGGATGTTACATTAACTGGCGTTATACATGGCTATATGACACTGACGTTGTTTGAAATGGGCCACAGCTGAAGTTCCAACCAATCTATAATATCCTTATGAGAATCACTAGTTTTCTTTTTCGCCTCGAAAACAAGCACACATCCATCAATAATCCCCATATCATAGGTTCGGCGTGCAAAACAATGACACGATTACCTTTACCTGATGGTACCATTGGTGCATTTTGTTCATCTGCCGATAGTCACAAGTAGTCAGTGGAATGATTCATCAAGGTAAATTATCTGGACTGTGATATTAATAAATGGTCCGGAGATGACGTGACCTCATAGACAGGATGGAATATTTTCCCCTGAAAAGTGCTCGGTCATCGCCACGTGCAGTGTATCGAAATCCCATCTCTTGGAGAGCAATGGTTAGTGCAGTCCGGGAAACATTAATTGTATCTTTAATTTCCTCCCAAATTCTACTACAAGTCAGGGTTACCTTCTGCTCTGATCTTGTACACTATACGCCTAATCACCCTGTATCAAAGCTGTCTAATATCCTTTTACGTCCCAGTTTTGTTTTTGAGACCACCCCTATACCTGTTTTGTTTTATTTATCATACCGTAAACTTATTGAAATTGAAAAACACCATAGCTTGGACAGCTCGGTTCACCCTATCTAAATTACTAAATGGTTTCCCTCTATCTCTCTAAAGTGTAAACAACGGGTATACATTTCCCAGTACAAACTCCATGGCGTGTACCATGGCTATGGCTATGCAAGTGTAATGTAACAAACACAGCGTAATTTTATCATTTCAGAAGATGCACATCTAGAATTTTCTCCATATGATTTTTGTGTGTGGATTAGATATATTATGAAGACTACATTATTATCATTATAACGGAGACACGTGCGCATATTTCTATCGTCCGTTTCAGACTGCCATCTTTGGACTTCCTGTTTTCGTTCGAATTTGTCTCCTGTAAACTTGTCGATAGGACTCCTTGTGACTGAAATAGTTCAAACCACAGGTAGGTCGATCGGTAGTTACTCGATAGTTCAATAACAACAGTCTGTGAAGAATGATATCCTTTTTTAACCATCTTCCCGCGGCAAGAGGGTTAACTGACTATAAAAGTCCAGTTTCCACCTTTGCCAAACTAGGTTGGTATTATGGAGTTACATTTTGGGTGGACTAACGAGTCTTTGCATAGTCCAATCAAAATCGCGCACCGAAATCGAAATCCGGTTCGTAAACTGTTGTGAAGATTTTGGTCGATTGCAGGATTTGCAAAGCATGTGCACCGCCAACTCGTTGTCAGCAGATCGTTCATGTTTTTAATCAAGGTACTCACTTGATTTGATGCATTTCACGATGTATATCACAACATAGATCTTGATTATCGAACAGATCGTCTTAACTGGGCGCCATCATTTTGTGTGAAGCAAACACAAGTGATACGAGAGGTGGAATCTGATTGGTCCATAGGAGAGACTTAGAAGGGGCATAACTTGTAATAGCCACTGGTGGCGCTACGATCGAGCCCAGTAATTCCAGCCTAGATCGGCAAGGGTGGAAACTGGACTCTTGCCTCGAGAAGATTTTTTTTAACAGGCAAAAAGCATTTTTCTAGCATTTCCGACAGTACTTTAGGACTATTTTGAAAGCTTGACAACTGTTGCTGTTAGGTCAATATTAGTACCACAGCTCTCACATTGTATACTACCATTGTACTTGTGTTACTATCGAATTTTGTACCGCCACTCCTTTGTGTACTGACATTTGAATTACTTTACAGTAAAACTTAATTATATAATATAATAATTGTTGACTGTATACCATTTCTTTGGTATTAGTTGGGTTCTCACTCAGATTAATTACAATTGAGAAGTCGACACTAACACTTAAATTGGACGATATTTTTGAGAATAAAAGATATATATTCATTTTACATTGTTTTGATGTTTGTTCAGGAATATTCAGGAAACACTAAACTTGACCCCTTTTCATAAACGAGGCTGTACATAATGTTCCTATCTTATATAAGAAATACCTGACTCATGGTCGTTGTTTAACGAACAATCATTATTAACAACTCCACCACCTCGTTTATCTCTTCAATATGAACATCTTCCCGAGGCAAGGGATTTATCTGACATGAAAATGTCAGATTATACCCTTGCCAAACCAGCCTGGTATTTCTGAGTTACATGTTGGCTGGCCTAATGTGTCTTTGCATCATCCAATCAACAATCGTGTAACGAAATCGAGAAAGTGTATGTACACGCATCCACGGCGATCAAACACTAAAAGGGTTGCTATAATCTCTGGTAATCGCTCAATAGAATTATACAAAGTGTTTTTTTTATTGAAAGGTTCTACTGATCGTAAGTAATTGTCAGCAAACCCTAAATTGTGACAATCATGTATGGTACTTTCCATATATCATAATGCGAGGAAACTTGTTGCACTTACAACATTAATGTACACGTATTTACTTTGTATGGGCTTCTGAGTTGATATTGTGTTCATTTTCATGTACTTAAGAAAGTACTTTCTTATATTAGAGGTGTTGAATATTTTGATCTTGTTATGTTTAAATACATGAAGTAAAAAAATAAAATTAAAAAATAATATGTTTAGGTTACAGTGTATAGGTGCGACTCGAACCAGTATTACGTGCATGTTGACATTCACGACGTCATAAATTAACAGTCAATAAGAGTTATGGTTCTTTGTGAGCAAGCGCGATAACCGTACTTGCGTGGTGGGCATAATGCCGGTTTTCTTTGCTGTTGAAGGGGAAAATTTGTAAGTTACAGCTGATGTGAATTATTATTGATGATGACTCATTACAGTTAGCGTTCTTTCATACGTGTATGTAGCAGATAAATACGCCTTATTCGGCGCTGTATGGACAGGAAGTTTATTTTATCATGCTTGTGTCTTCACTGTTTCAGACTTGAATAGGGGGCACGGGTGGCCCAGTCGTCTGAGGCGCCGCGATTCGCTGCGCAGAGTTGCGTCCCTTGGGCACGCCAGAAACCTATGATTGTGGGTTCGAATCCCGGTTCGCCCCGATTATGTTTCTAGGTTTGTCAGCACCATACCCGTGCTCGTGGGTTTCACCGAAGTGGTAAACGTCTAAGTCCTGCATCACTTCGGGCTTTCCTCCCACATAAAGCTGACACGCCGTGATATAACTGGAATACTGTTAAAAGCGGCGTTAAACCCAACTCACTCACTCAATCACTCACTCAGGCTTGAATAAACAAGAACCATTCAAGACCCCTTCGATTTGAACTCATGAACAGAAAACAGAAAACATGTGGCAACTGTGCAGTACCTCTTATATTATTATTTATGCAATTCAATGTACCTCGACAAACCTTGAATGTCTCCTGACAAATAAACACAGAATCTGCACATCATTCTTGGTCTCATTTTTGGCAGCCTTCAGGGTAAGAATAAAGGTTTTCGATTCGTGTTACTGTATTATGGAAGTACTTAGGTCCATGCAAATTTTCTTCCAGTACTTCTATACCATGTTGGCGAACGGGACCGAAGTACATCAGCTGAAATGTATTTAACATTATCGTTAATTAAAGTCGACCGCCTCCGTGGTCTAATGGTAGAGCGTCCGCCCAGAGAGCGGATGGTCCGGGGTTCGAGCCCCGACCGCGTCATACCAAAAGACGTTAAAAGATGGTACTTGTTGTGGCCCTGTCTGGCGCTCGGCATTAAGGGGGTAAAACAAGGACTGCTCGGCTCGGAGTCAGTATACTATGTCTAAGTGGGGTATTCATGTTAAACTGCGGCATGGTATCTCAGTGAGCTAACACTATAAATCGGCATCAGTCCGGACAAGCAGCCACACAAACACACACACGTACATGCACGACGCTATATAAGTGCAATAATCTTGGACGCGACGTTAAACCCCATTTCACCTCACCTCACCGTTAATCAAAGACAGAAAACAAATTCTTTACAGTCTCAAACATCAAAAAATACAGACACTTAAGAACACAACCCGTATCACAAAACCTGTAAAAAATAAATTACCTTTAAACTCACAAATTACACAAACAACTTTTGAGGTACAATCGAACATGCTCTTCCTTCCAAAATCAAAAGAGCGTCACACGACTTTTGTTCAAAAGTTGTTTTATAAACGTTCTTTCAAGACCTCGGTGAAGCTAAAAGCAGTTTTAGAACATTTTCAGGTGAAGAAGTGACCTGCCTGTGCATGTGTTTGTGCCACCGTACATCTCGATGACACCTGGTATCATCACTGTTTGACAGTGATTCATAAACACATGCTCGTAATATAGTCGGAACTGAAATCGACTCTGCTTATAGAAGCCATTTCTTATGAATATGGAAAGGATTCTGTTGCATTCGTACCCTTGACGTGACAGATCAATGTATATCCACAGTGGCATTAATAGAGCTATGCATGACATGATAAACCTAAGATATCCGAGAACCGCATGGATTCAAAAGTAAGGTGCAGTGGCGACGGCCAAATTCTGGCAAATCCTTAAATCATCACCAATTACATGCGGTTGCTTATTCTCCTATTTGTGAAACCCATCAAGAATAAATTGTATAGCATTGCATTTTACCATTTTTTCATCTTAGAATACCGTTTATATATATGCTCATATTTACAAATCAATGATATTATGTGTACGTGTGGAAAACGTTGAAAATTTCAACCTATATATGCTATATGAAGCACTTTTTAGCAATCAATGTAAAACAAAAGATGTAACGTAATAGTTATATTACATAAACAAAATTAACAAATCCATAATTCTACAAAAATCGCTACAAAAGCAGAGTCCGTTGTTTCCGATTTTATTAATAGCATCTATTTATGAATCTCTATCAAGTCAGTGGTGTTCGGAAAAAGGTGAACCTTTCCTGTTCCTTCGGCAACACCTGTCACAAACACAAGTCAACCTTTATACTTGATTGGTGTGTCGCAATAAGACAATGAAACTAAAAGATGCTCACTTCAACCGGATATTCGGCGAGAGTTCGGAAGCATGCTTGTTCCTGTCCGGATATGTGAAGGGCTCCATCTCCCGCGAACGTCCACTTCAGCATTTCGTTGTACTCAAGAGTTGACAAGTCTGAAATGAATATGAAGGTTGCCGAGATCATTGATGACGTATGCTATGAAGTATAACAGTTCAATATTGGTTATTATCATTTTCGTGACAAAGCACTAAATAAACGGTGAGCGGGAAAGCTGACAGACAAACTTTTGTTCGTGTCATGATAAAAAATAGTTACTGTTATAACCAAATGAAACACAACCCATTATCCGATAGAGGTAACGGTGCATAGCGGAAAGATATGTTATCACAATAAACTTGGTAACATGGTTTGGTTTGACTTCTTGGCGCGTGTCTGAATTCCTTTAACATGTTACATATCCTAAAACTGGCTTATCAGCAAATCTCGCTGCACTACGCGCGACTGATACTAGAGCAAGGCATGCCAGAAATACGAAATCTAATGCATCCAAAAGGAAGTCTTAGGCATCACGTGCGTCGGGGGACCAGCGCCATCTCATTGGCGGTTAACATTTGTACAAGGCGGGGCAAAAAGCATCGTTTTTCCGTCCATTTTACGCTTGAAGAACTCGACCCTTTTCCGGAGACTTTCTAGACGCTCGCCAATTAATCAATTTTAATGAATATTTAGTCGTTTTTCCGTCCAATGTCCAAATACTGGGAAAAAAACGACGTTTTCGTGTTTGCATTGTCAGTTTATATTTCATCTAATGCGGTACTGCTTCCGTGGTATAGAGGAGAGAGAGGAAGGTCCCTGGTTTGATCTCCTGGCCGTGTCATGCCAAAAGACGTTAAAAGATGTACTTGATGTTACCGTACCTGGCGATCGTTATTTAGGGGCTAAAACAAGGACTGGTCGGCTCGGAGTCAGTATACTGTGTCTGAGTGCTTGATTGTCATGGCGTTACAAACGAATAGTACTCACGGAACATTTCCAAATTTCAAGTTGGCAAATGATTCTTCAGTGAAATGTACCACATCACAGAGCACACATCTTAGATATGAGTAAACACCTTCACATGACTTTCAGCATACTTTATTCTCACTTTCGTTTCACTATTTCACGGGGCGGTCGGGTAGCCTAGTGGTTAAAGCGTTCCCTCGTCACGCCGAAGACCCGGGTTCGATTCCCCACATGGGTACAATGTGTGAAGCCCATTTCTGGTGTCCCCCGCCGTGATATTGCTGGAATATTGCTAAAAGCAGCGCAAAACCAAACTCACTCACTCACTCACTATTTCACCACTACCTCACGGCATTCTTCACGTCTATTAATCTGCACTATCGCAATAACATGGAATCACCGTAACGAGAAACGTCGCGATAACATGACGCGGAAAAATCATGTTTGAAATGCATGACATATAGAGTTGACACATTACTTATGCTCAAAATACCCATCAATAACATCTCATAATATAACAACATTAAACTCGTCTTAATACTTTTGATCATTGACGAACGTGTATGATAAGAACTGCTTCATACGAAAAATACCATTCATGTTAATTCCAATCAACGGGACGGGAGAGATTCCCAGATTGTAACAGAACTTGTTATGTGAAAAAGCTGTTAATTATCACTACGAAATTTTGAATGTCGCTTATATACTACTCAAAAGAAGTTAAGGATCACCCGATTCTTTCATATTGGTAAAGTTAATATGTCATGGCATGAAAGATTAACTATAGTAATATGAAAGAATCAGGTGATCCTTAACTTCTTTTGAGTAGTATAATTAGGTCCTTCAAATTCACATGTTAACTGATATTGTCAGTCGAGGCGCGTACCTCAGTACATATTTTCCAATATATTCAACAAAAATTTACATCATTCTCAGAATGTCGAGGTGATACTTATCAAACCATTTAATCTTCCATGAGGTAGAACAAGTCCGGCTGTGTTTACCTCCTACAGGAAATATCTTCCTGTCCATGAGAAGGTCATGATTTTCGAAAAATGATGACCACATGTCCTTAGGCAGGTTGAGGCCGAGCTCCTTGGCGAAGTCTTCGCAGCTGTAGAGGGATGTGACGCTGAACTCATATCCCTTGCTGAATAGAAAACCAGTCAACTGGGGCCAACTGCATGCTTTCTCAACGTCAAGAACTGAAACGTGTACATTCAGAATTATACTTTTATAAACCCAAATGTCTCTTGATCAAACTTGTTAGGATGACTTTTATGTCCTACTTATATGTGAACAAGAGCCTTTATGAACTTTTAATGTTACAGTAACATACAAATCTATTCTATTCCCCTACAATATAGAGAAACTGAGGAAATTGTCTACAAATTTCTATATGTTGTAATTTTAGCACCTCCATAAAATTGTGGACCTGTGATCTCTCTAACTCAAAAACAACATTATTCTTGAAATAAAAAATGCATCTTTCAATTCTAATTCATGAAGAAATCTCCTCGACTTTAAGGCTGTGGTTCCCTATTGGTACGGCGCGATAATGCACGTGGTGTTGTAATGTGAACATCACACGATTAATGTTTAGCTATCAAGTGCTCTTAAAACACTTTTTTTTGACCATCAATATCGCTTATGCAATGCCACGGCTTGCTGAAATCAACGAATATCTGCCCTTGGTATATTGCAAACAGGAATGGTACAAAACGAAGTTGCCAGACCTTTTAATGTTCACCAAAACACAGAGTCGTCTCTTTGGAGGCTTATTTTCAACAGGTCAACATTCTACAACATTCATGACTTGTCATTGGCCGGTCGTCCACGTGTGACGTCACGTCAACAAGACATCCATATTCGGTTGATGCATCAAGGAATGGATTCCAACTGCCACATTAACAACTCTGAAAACCCTGGTTTGAGACCAACTAGTGGCAGAACCATATGCAACCGGTTGAGGGAGCACAAATTCCGGCCCCGACGCCAAGCAATACGGCCAGCGATACGCCCAGCGATACGCCCAGCAATACGCCCAGCGATACGCCCAGTTGTTGTTCGACGTCACCGTCAGACACGTCAAACTCGGTGTACACAGCATCTGAGATTCAGAAGACAAGACTGAACCGAGGTCATACCATTGAAGAGGTCGGTTCCGAGGGTCCTTGTTTGCGAATGTTGACCTCATCAAGAGTGGTTATTTCTTTTGTTGTACCAAAATACACAAGCTTATGAAGCCTTTGAACAGTCCCCTGTTTGATTGCAGTAACTAATCTGATGAACCATGACATGTTTATACCAGACGCCATCTTGTTTTCTAGCAGAAAAGTCAATACTGATCACATGACAGGTCATGTGACGAGTCAATATTCGAGGTCAGTGTCAGTCACATGGTTTTGGGTCTACTTTCAAACGTAATGTATCGTCACGTTGTACAATGGCATTACAAGATTCTTGATAGATGTATAACAACGGTACATTAAGGACTTACCAAGAATAATCCTTGGATTTCCAAGCTCCTGTTAAACCAATAATATTAAATTAATACAACATGGTGCTACATTTGCTGAGATCTATGCATTTTCAAAAGTCCACTTGTTTATCCATTTTACTTACAATTAGAAATTAAACCCTTCATTAGTTTATCTACATACGTCTGTGTATCTGTGTGTTTGATTTGAATTTAAAATACTCAACCATTAACTAGAAGCGATATAGATGGTGCGGTCCTTGTAATTAGTCCTTGGTATTTATAAACAAAAGGCCATAAAGCAGGAGCATAACACGTGATCGTTGATGTGCTGTGCATAATGAACAAATTTGTCATAATTTTACAGACCTTAAATGAAAAGAGAACCTTGATGTCACTTAGACCTTTCACTGTCTCCTTAATCTGCTGTATGTCCGCCGTCTCGTCCCTCCCCGCCTTCGGGGGCAAGTAGATGTCCACCCTGTATAGAAGGGCGTCTCTATCACCAGCAGCACCGAGAACCGACAGGTGGAGACACAACATGGTGCTCATAGCAGCAACGAACAGCAGCATTGTTGCAAGTCCTTATCTGCACCGAAAGTGAAGATCCGGGGTAGAATATGTCTTCAGCAACCCATGGTTGCCGTAAAAGGCGACTATGCTTGTCGTAAAAGGCGACTAACGGGATCGGGTGGTCAGGCTCGCTGACTTGGTTCATGCATGTCATCGATCCCAATTGCGTGGATCGATGCTCATGATATTAATCACTGGATTGTCTGGTCCAGACTCTATTATTTACAGACCGCCGTCATATAGCTGGAATATTGCTGAGTGCGGCGTAAAACAACAAACCAACCAACCAACTGCACCGAAAGTAGGGGAATTCCGTGAGGTAAGCAGTTAACCCAGGTCGCAAATATACTGAACCGCAAAAGAAACGTCACCATGGATAGATATATGAGAAACCTTATTTGTCCAAACACTGTAAACATACTTTGAAACAAAACTGAGTATTAAGTTTGAAATTATAGCTCAAATATTCTTAAAGTGAAACACAACACTAGTCTCTGAGAAAATGGCATCACAAGTCAGTATCTCGTGTGTCCGCCATGTGCATTGATGGCTGCCGTGCAACGTGGATCAGAGAATGGATGGGGCGGTTGATGAAGGCAATAGGCACTTGAGCCCTCTGAGGAACGCCAGACGCAATTCAGTTGCCGGCCTTGGTCGGACGTCATTCAGCCGTCTTTGAATCTCGTCCCACAAGTGCTCAATGGGATTTAAATCGGGACTGAGGGCAGACCACTGCATGGTTCTGATGCCATTCTGCTGGAGGAAGTCTCTTGTTGCTCTCGCAGTGTGGGCTCGGGCATTATCATGCTGAAACTCGTGGCTGCGGCGACGTGCCAAATTAGGTATGGCTTGTGGTCTCAAGACTTGATCAATGTACCGAGCTGCTGTGACACCACTGCCTCTCTCAGGACCGATTGTTATAGGGCAAGAAATGGGGGAACGCATGTGCATTTCAATTTGCACGGAACTCACGAACATCGTTGTCGTGATGCGTTTGGGCAATCGGTTTTATTGTCATCTGCTTTGGAGGTTTTTATCATCAAATTTCATTTTTCCGGACAAGGTCATGTTAAGTTTAAGAAACTTTGACAAAATTTACCAGATATTTAAATGACAACTTTTCATACAATGTTACTTGGGGTGACGTTTCTTTTGCGGTTCAGTATATATTGTTTCAATTATAATTCATTCGATTTGATTATAACAATACATACATACATACATACATACATACATACATACATACAGCTCTAATATCTGATGGGTCAACTCTGTCTCTTGAGCATACGCTGAAGGGAAAAGGTGAGTTTTGAGTTGACTTGTAAAGACTAAATGTCCTCCTTCAGATCAAAGGCTAAGTGGAAGTTTCTTCCTAAAGGAAAGGTCCTTATTTAGAGAAAGATTTGTCAGCAAATGATTTCGTTCTTGTCTTTGGAACCCGATGAAGGAACTGGTCACAATATACATTTTTGGAAACATTGCTTGATATACCTTACATGAAAAGGTATTCGAAAAGATGTATGTATTCCGACCTTTAATCGACCTAAACCCGTGGTACAGAGAAGCCTGTGCATGTCAGCACTTGAGTATTGAGAAAAAGTCCATATTTCAGGCGCAGAAACCACTCGTGTAAACATGTGCTTTTTCCGGAAGTATGAAACAAAGGCAAGAAAAATTATCCCAAATGTGACGATTTTGACCTGGAATATAGAACGTGAGAAGCGTCCGTAAAATATTCTCTCCCAGGGGTAGGACACCTTGACACAGCAATAAAAGAGGAACAATGCAATACCATCTGGTGCTATATATTCTAAGAATCTAGTGTTTGACATACATCTGACCCAAATCATGTATTATCTTCCAAATCCCTCTTCTTAGTGTCAAGAACAAACTTTGCCATTACGGAGCAAGGTGAGGTGAGGTGAAATGGGGTTTAACGTCGCGTCCAAGATTATTGCACTTATATAGCGACGTGCATGCACGTGTATGTGTGTGTGTGTGGCTGCTAGTACTAGTCCGGACTGATGCCGATTTATAGTGCTAGCTCACTGAGATACCACCAGTTTAACATGTATACCCCACTCAGACACAGTATACTGACTCAGAGCCGACCAGTCCTTGCTTTAGCCCCTAACTGCCGAGCGCCAGACAGGGTAACAACAAGTACCATCTTTAAACGTCTTTTTGTATGACGCAGCCGGGGATCGAACCCCGGACCTTCCGCTCTCCGGGCGGACGCTCTACCACTAGGCCACGGAGGCGGTCTACGGAGCAAGAAATATTCACGATACGGATTGTGTTGGTTGTCATAACAAGGACGACGCAAATAACACCGTGATGGTTTAGAATAGGTCTCCAACAGCCTATTCTGATCGGAAGAGGTGACCAAATGGATCAGGTGATGGTGGCGTGCCATCGACGGCGCAGATCGTTACTCACAATATCGAGCACTGGATTGTTTTGTTCAGATTATTTACATGTCGCTACCTACAAAAAGTACGGAGATGATGAAATGAAATTACTTTGGGGCGGTTAGATCAATATCTGGTGTGTTCACTATGTTGGGCGATACATGCACCACTCCTTCATGGTATAATGTTGATTAACTTGCGTATGGTTGCCTTTGGAATTGACCGCCTCCGTGGCCTAGTGGTAGAGCGTCCGCCCGGAGAGCGGAAGGTCCGGGGTTCGATCTCCTGCCGCGCCATACAAAAAGACGTTTAAAGATGGTATTTGTTGTTACCTTGTCTGGCGTTCGGCATTAAATGGTTAAAACAAGGACTGGTCGGCTCAGAGTCAGTATACTGTGTCTGAGTGGGGTAATCATGTTAAACTGCGGCATGGTATCTCAGTGAGCTAGCACTATAAATCGGCATCAGTCCGGACTAGTACAAGCAGCCACACACACACACATGTGCATGCACGTCGCTATATAAGTGCAATAATCTTGGACGCGATGTTAATCCCAATTTCACCTCACCTCACCTTGGAATTGCCCACAATTCCGCCTGAAGAGTTACCCATATATGGTCTACGTTGGCGGGTGCTGTGTTTCTGGCGTACGCTCTTCAGTCGAAGAACATCCCACAGATGCTCTGGTAGAGACACATGAGAGGACTTAGCGGCCCAGTCCAATGTCTGTCTACATTCTCGGCGGAGATAATCGCTGACGACCTGAACACGAAGTGGTCTAGCATTGTCAAGTTCAAAATGTCTGCCAATAATTCTTGCGAATGTTGTGTCAAATGTCTATTCACAATGACCAAATCACTTCGCCTGACTTACACTAGGCATACCTGTGGCCACTACCTTCGCCAACAAAAGTTTTCTGCCATCTGTGGTTCGGCTAAAACCACCATTGACGCACAGCTTGTCTCTGGTGTTGCCTGGCCATCCCCAATCTTAGCTGATGTGGTGAGTTGTGGTGGTAACAACACTCACAGGACGCCTTGGTTTTGGGTGGGCTGCATAGAGCCTGTTTTTAATGGTAGATGTTGGAATTCTTCTTCCTGTCATTGAACGTATTTCTCTATAAATGAGAGTGTCTTGTCCATAGGAAGGTGTCGTTTTAGATCTGATACGCCAACGTCTCATTGCAACAGCACCCGTTTCACAGAGTCGAAAAATTGCACTTTTTGATTTGCCAAATATTGGAGCAATTCATCGTTTTGTCTGTTCGTTTGGATACTCTCTTTTAAGGTGAGGTGAGGTGAGGTGAAATGGGTTTAACGTTGCGTCCAAGATTATTGCACTTATATAGCGACGTACATGTACGTGTGTGTGTTTGTGTGGCTGCTTGTACTAGTCCAGACTGATGCTGATTTATTGTGCTAGCTCACTGAGATACTATGCCGAAGTTTAACATGAATACCCCACTCAGACACAGTATTCTGACTCCGAGCCGACCAGTCCTTGTTTTAGCCCCTAAATACCGAGCACCAGACAGGGTAACAACAAGTACCATCTTTTAACGTCTTTTGGTATGACGCGGCCGGGGATCGAACCCCGGAAGCTCTACCACTAGACCACGCTTTTAAGTGTGTACATAGCTCAATTCCATTGGTGATCGTGACTTCCCCCATAGGCGCTCACACTCTGGCTTCTGTGCGCATGCGCACCGCGTGCTGTTCATGCATAATGTAAACGTACATTCCAATAAGACGTTGCATTGAAATCCAACGCCACGGTATTGTGAAGTTACTCCTCACATGCATTCTAATTATTAGTTCACTTATTTTTGTCAGTTGTATACATGTTTTTCACAATCTAATTACAAGAAGTGATGTTGGGGTCATAACTGTCAACAACTTACCAATCACAATTTTCAAGCTATGCCAATTTTAAATAATACGTTTATGTAGGTAACAAATTAAGTTGTTTCTATTTTTAAAAGACAAGTAATTTTGTTTGTAAGTTACTGAAATTATCTGACGCCATTGATTATATGGCATTGCAAGCTGAGCAGGTTTTCATTATGAATAGTTATCCGTTCTTTTATCATTCTTCAAAATATGTTTTAATCATTCGTTTACTTCTATATTGTGAAAACAATTAGAGATAATAATGAATGTAAAGAAATGGAAAAGGTACACCTTAGAGATTGCATACTGTTGTTGAATGTAAATACCTGAATATGAAACACTACCATTTGAAGAAAATTAGGTAGATATCTAATGCACATTTCTGCAGCAAAATACAGCTGGCGTGGCCATCAGGACGAGCCTCGATCTGCTGTCAAGGCAGACACTCTATCAAAACCACCACATAGGCAATGTACGATCTTGTAGTCCCTGTATCAAAATGTTAAATATACGTGCGATATATGTATTTACTATACCTGTGTACACATAGCTACGGTGGCCCATAAGAGACATGGAGTCCATATGTTTTTCAATATTTGGATATTTCACTTACTTTTATCGCTACCTTTTGCAAATTAACACGATTTGTCTTACAAATATGTGATAAATCATGTATAAAGAAGATATTGAATCGCTGAAAAGTGAATCGAAAATGTCAAAAACTAAAATGAAAATACAGAAAACTATTCCCACCGCGGTGAAAACTATTTACACCGCGGTGGGAATATTATCACCGTGGTGGAAATAGTTTCCTGTGGTTTCATTTTGTTTTTGACATCATTTTCGCTTTTGTTTTTGACATTTTCGTTATGGTTTTTGACATTTTCGTTTTGGTTTTTGACATTTCCATTTTAGTTTTGACATTTTCGCTTCAAATTTCAGCGACTCAATAGCTACTTGAAAGTACATTTTCCATGTTTTCGGTTGTTTTTATACATGATTTATCACATATTTGTATGACAAATTGTGTTAATTTGCAAAAGGTTACGATAAAAGTAAGTGAAACATCAAAATATTGAAATACAGACTCCATGTCCCTTATGGGCCACCGTACATAGCGTATTGCCAATATCTACCGAAACAAAAGAAAGCTGAAAATTACCTTTTCAATCAGTCAATGACAGTTTCTGCAGGCAGTCTGCAGTCAATGACAGTTTCAGCAGGCAGTCATCTGGGGGTGGAAAGCTGCTTCTCTATATAACGATGTCCAGTATGCAAATTGGAAGTTAAAATACACCATAATTATGACACATCAACATTAAAACGGTTGTAAAATGACATGTTTAATACAGTGGAACTATCGTTTGTATCAAATCGTGCACCGAGGCCAATGAAGGTGTATAATAACATCCCTAGCTGTCACTGGAAAAACACATCTGTTGCTTTAAAACTGTATACGTGATAATGTTGTGCTCAAATATGTTTCATAAAAAAAAAAAATTTATATAAAACTTTGCATAAATAACTAAATTGTGAATGTATTAACTTGGTCTCGTCGCTATATGTCTGCAATACTGCCGATGCGACGTTAAATTTTAACTCACTCACTCACTCTTTGTGTAGGTCCCCCCACTGGGTTGCTAGTTGAAGACAAGTTGAATTTGGTGATGATGGTGATATATATTTTGTGTCAGATGATGGAAGAAAGCTGTATACAAGAGTCCTCCCTCAGAGTTCGTCCCGTCTTTAGCAACCCATGCTTGCCGGAAAGGGCGACTATGCTTGTCCTTAGAGGCGACTAACAGGATCGGGTAGTCAGGCTCGCTGACTTGGTTGATGCATGTTATCGATCCCAATTGCGTGGATCGATGCTTATAATATTGATCACTGGATTGTCTGGTCCAGACTCGATTATTTACAGACCGCCGTGATATAGCTGGAATATTGCTGAGTGCGGCGTTTAACAACCAACCAACCAACCAACCATAAGAGTTTATGTGGAATTTTGTAACAACTTCAACCAAGGCCAAGGCCAACAGGGACTCCCACACATATATGAACGGCAAGGTACTTCTGGAGTGGGTGAAAAGTAAATTGGTCCTGATTTGCCTGCCAAGTCCCTTATTATCATGGACAACGCATCACAGTATGCGGGATCCAGACAACAAGGCCCCGACGTCTAATAGCCTTCAAGGAGATATGGTGACGTGGCTGCAACGGATGAATACCTTTCCTTTCAGGGCTACAAAACCTCAACTCTATGAAATCATCAAATCTAACAAACCTGAGCCCGTGTGTATGGTTGGCAATTACATGAAAGGTCAAGGTCAAGGTCACACCGTCTTACGACTTACCACTGCGATCTGAACCCAATAGAGTTGATATGGGGCATCGCCAAAAGTGACGTTGGACTATTGAACACAACGTTTACATTGCGGGATGTTGAAAAGCTAGTAAATGAATCCCTTGGTCGGGTAACAATGAAGACATGGCAGCGTTGCGTTACCAAAGTCGTCAACGAGGAGTCAAAATACTGGTCACGAGATGGACTACCCAAAGTTATGACAATCAGCAGTGACACAAGCAATTCCGACGACGAGGTCAGTGACATGAACTAGTCAGAATGTGATCACAATTATCATGAGACGAACCCTCTTATGCTGCCATTCCCTGTACCATTGTGTAGCACGTGCAGTACGTGTTTACACCTCCTACCGTTGTGCCACCTCCGTTCAAGATTTCACCTTGTACACATATCACCATGATATACTGAACCGCAAAAGAAACGTCACCCAAGTAACATTGCATGAAAAGTTGTCATTTAAATATCTGGGTAATTTTTGTCAAGGTTTCTAAAATGTAACATTACCTTGTCCGGAAAAATGAAATTTGATGATAGAAAAACAAAGCAGATGACAATAAAACCGATCGCCCAAACGCATCACGGCAACGGCCATGGTAACCCGATGCACGTGAGTTCCGTGCAAATTGAAATTGCACATGCGTTCCCCAATTTCTTGCCCTATAAAATTCCACCCAGATCGGATAACATTCCCGTGTGCGAAATACGCATCAGTTGGAAAGCGCACGTTAAATCCCCAAAGTAAGTAAGTAAGTAAGTAAGGATAACATTCATTCGTTATTGAATTGCTACCATATGCCAAGATTGACAAGAAATCAGCGACACCAAGCCCTTGGACGATTGCAAGTTGGACAAACCGTCCGGCAAGTAGTCAATGCATTTCAAGTCCACGTAAGGTCCTTATACAGGCTCCCGCAACTGTACCAGACCACCAACACTACAGATGACCGACCACGTAGTCGAAGACCAAGGGTCACCACCCGACGTCAGGATCGTCAGACTGTGCGACAGCATCTTCAAGATCGCTTTGTTACTGCTGTGGAAACTGCTCGACAGACCATGGGGACACACCAACGACACATTTGACGAGCACACAGCTCCACTGTCACAGGCCACACCGGGGACCCATTCTGACACCACGTCATCGCCGGGACCATCTTCAGTGGGCAACACAGAACCGGCTTTGGCGCCACCAGCAGTGAAGAGTCCTCTTCTCAGACGAGAGCCGTTACTGTATCTCAACAGCATATGGCAGAGAGATAGTCTGGCGACGCAGTGGGGAACGTTATTCGGATGCTTTTATTGTTGAGAAAGACTTGTTGGGGTTGTCCGAGCATCATGGTGTGGGGTGGAGTTGGTCTTGCACAGAGGGTCGGCCCTGTGGTCTTCCAGAATATCGGTCCTGGGAGAGGCAATGGTGTCACAGCAGCTCGGTACATTGATCAAGTATTGAGACCACATGCCATACCTCATTTGGCACGTCGCCGTAGCCACGAGTTTCAGCATGCTAATGCCCGTGCCCACACTGCGAGAGCAACAAGAGACTTCCTCCAGCAGAATGGCATCAGAAACATGCTGTGGCCTGCCTTCAGTCCCGATTTAAATCCCATTGAGCACTTGTGGGACGAGATTCAAAGACGGAATAACGTCCGACCGAGGCCGACAACTGCAGCTGATCTGCGTCAGGCGTTCCTCAGTGTGGGGTCAAGTGTATATTGCCTTCATCAACCGCCTCATCCATACCATGTATCGACGTTGCACGGCAGTCATCAATGCACATGGCTGACACACGAGATACTGACTTGTGATGCCATTTTCTCAGAGACTAGTGTTGTGTTTTACTTTAAGAACATTTACACTTTAATTTCAACCTTGATGATCAGTTTTGCCAAGTTTCATCTTTTTAGTATGTCTCAAAGTATGTTTACAGTGTTTGGACAAATAAGGTTTCTCATATATCTATCCACGGTGACGTTTCTTTTGCGGGTCGGTATAGTTGCTTTAAGAACTATTTACCGTGATGGTTATAAAATAACAACAGCATATATTTGGGGGTATAGGGTATTCATTGTTGCGTACCACATTGACCGTTAACAGACTATTCCTGATTTTGTGGCGATTATGTTTGTCGTAACAATCGACCAACGGGATCGGGTAGTCAGGCTTGTTGACTTGGTTGATGCATGACATCGTATCCTAGTAGCGTGGATCGATGCTTATGGTGTCAATCACTGGATTGTCAGATCCTGACTCGACTATTCACAGACCGCTGCCATAAAGCTGGAATGCTGCTGGAGTGCGGCGTTAAACAATAAACAAACAAACAAACACACTATCTCTCTGTTCAACTGTATGAACTGGAGTGATGTGTTTGCAGGCTGTATAACTCTTTGTGGCCCTAGTTTGCCCTAAATTCAATTACATCTTCTCAGACCAGTGTTGAACCTTTTCTTAGGGCAAAACATTGATTCAGTCAAACAGTTGAAATATTTATTAATATTCAAGCCTGTTTACATGGACAGACTGTTTATATGGACAGACTGTTTATATGGACAGACTGTTTACATGGACAGACTGTTTATCACCCGTCATGCCACGACAGATTAGCTGCAGTAATATGAATAAATCTGGGGTTCCTTAACTTCATTTAAGTAGTATAGCTCACCAACAGGCTATGCCGACCGATGGTCTAAAGCCCCACAACAGTTGCGTCCCTTTTCTGCAATGGTGAAATAGGCCTGCGTTCAAATCCGATTAACCCGGATGATCTGTTTCAACCTGACCCATGCTCGTGAATTAAACCAAACTGGTTACCGCCTACGTGTTTTGTCAGTTTGAGTCATTTTGACAATTCGTCCAACAGTTAGTTGACACTACGCTATACAATTGAAACGCACTTCAAAGAAAAACATGACACGGAATGATGCGCGGAAATCAGTGATCACAGCTTTGATCTTCTATGTTCATTCCCTCTGACAGGATAATAAATATTTGATGCCTCTTCTCGTTCCTGTATCAACATATAGATTATGATGGCGTCCAGATTGGCAAATCCTTTGATCCATAATACTGAGATATTAACAGATAAGGTATCCTCAGTCCATGACAACAAACCAATCTGTAGCCTGTGTGTAAGGCGGGATTTGAATGTAAGGCAGGTAAAGCTGAATGGGTTTCTAAACCACGAGACTGAAAGTCGAAGCGTGTACATAAACGTACAGCTTTTAATCCCGTATAATCCCCGATATTAACACATCTAACTTAAATAACAAAAAAACATGTACCAGCTCATACCAGATATTGACGCTAACTTTAATTACTTCACACTGGACGAAGGCGCATGTTTGAATGTGAAACTATTTACGGCTTTTGCATTAGACGTAAAGTCGGTCACATGACCTTGAAACTGACATTTTTTCACGAGGCTGTGTTATGGAAACACTGACGGACCACTTCCACATTCCTAAGGAAACCTCTGGGAATTCCCTTGCATGAATGAATATAGAAGCGCTGTTTCTGATCATTTAGACCCTTTAATCTTAAATGAAGTAAGAGGTTTTACCGCTTGCCCGTTGACCGTACAATAATCTGCCAATCGGACAATGATGACGAATACCTGTGATCGCCACAGGTTCATTAACAGCTTCAGAAATCACTTCCGTCAGGTTTATCGTTGCAGCCATTTTGTATTACGACGCGTCCCTCGAAGTTTGAAAATAGTGATAAAATAACTTGGACTGACATTCACAGAATTAGAATAGGAACCTTCATGGTACGAGGACGTAAGTGTTTTTAAAGCGATAAAACCCTTTCCATATCCAATAGAAATCCGACTATATCACGAGCATGTGTTTATGAATCACTATCAAATACATATGATAAAAGGTAAGCGTATCCTGTCCCACCGTAGGCCCCAGTAGGGAAGCTAATCAACAGTGAGATTTATGATGTCATTGGATAGTGATGATGTCACAATGGTCTGCAAACACTTTGTCTTTGGTCAATATTGCTCTTTGCGAGTTAATGAAAACAGATATTGACCTCTCATAAAGTGGGTCACAGGTTCACAGGTCACAGGTCACAGGTCACAGGTCAGTTGACCATCATGTGCAGGTCCTCCTCCTTCCCCAATGTCGACCTATTCGTGGTGTTGGAGTTGTTACTCTCACGTCGGTGACCAAACATCGTCTTGAGGAACTGGTAACGGAACTGCCTGCCGGCGAAGAAGTACAGATAGAAGTTCACGGCGTGGTTGGAATCGGCGAACATGGAAGTAAGCACGTCAACGAAACGTCGTTGCACCTGTTCCAGGGAGGATTGAGGGGGCCCACCTTTGATGACGAGCATGACGACGCAGCGAGGAATGGTCAGTATGACGAACACAATGGTCACGCTGACCAACATAATCGTGATGTGGTTGTCATGACAACCAGACCCTGATCGCTTGGCTTTATTTGAGCAGCTTGTGTTCACGGCTAAGTCACGGCGGATTTTGGAGGACTGCTGAATGTTGTAGACGATGAGGAAGTTGAAGACGATGAGGACGGTGCAGGGGATGAATGCGTACACCGATGCGCTGATCCAGTACCAGTATTCGGTAGTGAAGTCGGTGTAGTCGGCGGAGTAGACACAGCCGTTGACGGAGTTCACCATTGTCCAGAAAATATGCAAGTGTAATGCGCAGAGACACGAAAATATGATACACGTAAGGACAACCGTTCGCCTCAATGTCCAGATGCTCGCAACCATCAGAGGAAACCGGACGGCCATAAAACGTTCTGTCGCCATGGCAACCAGAATCCAATTTGAAAAGGCAGCTGTTACAAGCCCAAGGAAACACATGAACCGGCATCCAGCGACCGAGAAGGCGTTTGGGTGATGTAGAAGCTCCATGAAAATTGATTTAAGTATGAGAGCAACGTTGTCAACGATACTTAAAGCTGCTACGTAAAATGTTGAGGACTTCAGCCGGGACATTTTCAGGATGGTCACTATGCTAGCGAGGTTGCCTGGGAAACCGAGAACCAGTATGAACAATATATAATAGCGTTCCATGGAACCAATCACACTCAGAGCATTGGAATACTCAGTTGTACTGACGTCACTGGTCACGATTCCTGTCGTCATATTCGAAGTGGTGTTCAACGTGTTGCCGTACTTTATTAAGCTCGTATTCATGTTGAGCGGTTCCATCTTCTGAAGAGAGCAGACCCGTTATCCCATCTGAAACACAGTTGGAAAAAGCTCAGTGTTTGTTTGTTTGTTTGTTTGTTTGTTTGTTTGTTGTTTAACGCCGCACTCAGCAATATTCCAGCTATATGGCGGCGGTCTGTAAATAATCGAGTCTGGACCAGACAACCAGTGTTTAGCATCGTTCCACACAATTGGAATACGAAGACATGCATCAACCAAGTCAAGTAGCCTGATCACTTGATCCCGTTAGTTGCCTCTTACGACAAGCATAGTCACCTTTTACGGCAGGCATGGGATGCTGAAGACCTTTTCTACCCCGGAATCTTCACGGGTCAGCTCAGTATTGACGCCATGTAGACGATGTAGTGATTAGTGATAAATGTCGTCGCTGTATTTGATGTTTAGGCAAAACTTTTATTCAGCGGTTTTCTATGGATAACTGTAAGGAAATTCTCGCGATCTCACATTCTCGCGATCTCGACCTATGGAAACGAGGTAGATATGCTTCAAACACGAGAATGCGAAATCGCGAGAACGCGAGATTTTGCATCATGTCCAAACGTCGCATTCTCGCGCTGTTGACTTTTGACAAAAAGTGCTATGTACCAAAAACACGAGAATGCGAGATCGCGTGAACGCGAGATTTTGGCCAAATCTCGCGTGAACGCGACCTCGCATTCTCGTGTTTTGGGCATATTTAGCTCGCTTCCAAAGGTCGAGATCGCGAGAATGCGAGATCGCGAGAATGTCCCTTACATTATTCCATAGTTTTCATTTACACAAACAAGTTAAATACATCTCAGTCAAGGATACCCCTGTGGTCTAAGGCGCTGTTAAGTGACGCGCCCTTCAGGTTTGTCAGAAACATGATCTCAGGTTCGAATCCCCACAAGTCACCCCGATTATGTTTCTCGGTTGGTCAGAACCATACCCGTACTCGCCGGTTTAAGCAAAGCTGGAAAAGTCCAGCATCACTTCAGGCTCTCTTCCAACTTCAAGCAGACACACCATGATATAACTGTAATACTGTCCAAAACGTCGTTAAACCCAACTCACTCACTCACTCACTCGTTCTGGATATATAGGGGTAAATCGATATTATTTCAATCCAAAAGTCAGGGATTTGATAAAATATACTAAAATAAAACATTTCCCTGTATAAATATTTCTGTCTGGGTTCATACATATACTTGCGCATAAAAATAGAGTATAATACAGAATGTACCACTTGTCATTGGGTGCACATGCACGTGTGCGTCTCGTATATACGTTTTCTAGTATGTGTGTATACTAAAGGCATCAGCTTTTCTGTTTGTTTCGGGGTATGTGCGAAATCTCCTCCCCTCGAAGCGCTAGTAAAATCCGAAACATAATCATTTTGTGTTGTATTCTGGTTTTGCAACGTTTATTTGAAACCTATTGCTGTTTTATTCCGCTTTGAGTCCATATTCCATATTTTTATAAAACAGGCTACCACGCCAAACAAATTACCACATGTATTCATAGGCAGTGAAAAGTTCAGAAGGTTTTCGGGCTTCGGTTAACGCCTTACACCGTTCAGCAACTGTGGCACGTTCGCGTTTGTTTAATAATTATTTTAGATCTGTATTTACTTTATATTTGCTATTTAATCAAATGCACAGCTACAAATTGAATATTTATTATTCAACAATAATTACCATTTTGAAATGAAAAATGTGATATCGTTTTCCGCTATCAGGTAATTAACTCTTTACTTGAAACATTTGATATATAGGTCCTTTTAGGTGCCCTTGTATTCAAATTGTCTGTCTACCACCTCGCCTTCCATGACCTGATCTATGGTGTCCCTGACTCTGTACAATTATAGACTTGTCTGTCTACCACCTCGCCTTCCATGACCTGATCTATGGTGTCCCTGACTCTGTACAATTATAGACTTTATATGAGGTCAATACCTATTATGCGGACCCGAAAAAATCAATATTGACCGAGGACGAGGTATTGACTTCACATCAAGTCTATAATTGGTTTATCATACAATAAAGCTAGGTTAGGGTTACCATACGTGAAAGGGACAAGCCGAATAGCTCTTCTTGCAGGTTACGGAAAGGGGCGAGTGGTGACGAATGTAAGGTTACAACAAACGGAGACATCTGATTGGTTGGGTTTGGAGTTACCACTTTCGGGTAATTTCCAGTCTCAAGGCAATGTGACCGCCTCCGTGGTCTAGTGGTGGAGCGTCCGCCCGGAGAGCGGAAGGTCCGGGGCGATCCCCGGCCGCGTCATACCAAAAGACGTTAAAAGATGGTACTTGTTGTTACCCTGTCTGGCGCTCGGCATTATGAGGCTAAAACAAGGACTGGTCGGCTCGGAGTCAGTATACTGTGTCTGAGTGGGATATTCATGTTAAACTGCGGCATGGTGTCTCAGTGAGCTAGCACTATAAATCGGCATCAGTCCGGACTAGTACAAGCAGCCACACAAACACACACACGTACATGCACGTCGCTATATAAGTGCAATAATCTTGGACGCGACGTTAAACCCCATTTCACCTCAAGGCAATGTCGTAAATTATCAGACCGGTGCAATGACATGTGACGGCTCACAACCATTGAATATGGCGGAAATCTTTGCATTATATAAAAATATCGGTTGATGATCTGTTGGATTTACAAGAATTATTGTAAAAAATTGTTGTTGTGGTTTTAACGTTGTATAAAAACTTTCATGTTTGTTTGTTTGTTTGTTTAAAGACCGCCTCCGTGGTCCAGTGGTAGAGCATCCGCCCGTAGAGCGGAAGGGCGGGGTAATGTTTCCTCATGGTAAATTGGGGGCACGGGTGATCCAGTCACCCAGTCGCTGTGCAGAGTTGCATCCCTTGGGCACGCCAGAAACCTATGATTGTGGGTTCGAATCCCGGTTCGCCCCGATTATGTTTCTAGGTTTGTCAGCACCATACCCATGCTCGTGGGTTTTACCAAAGTGGTAAACGTCTGAGACCTGCATCACTTCGGGCTTTACTCCCACATTAAGCTGACACGCCGTGATATAACTGGAATACCGTTCAAAGCGGCGTTTAACCCAACTAACTCACTCGTCCATGATAAATTGATATTCATATCATTGATAAATGTCCTCGAGTTGGTCCGATATGAATTGTTGACTGGCCCTGGAACGTGCATTTCATAAACCGAGTAGAGGTGCGCGTGCGAAAGGCACAGGGCATACATTTCACGTGCACCACAGTTTTCACAGTTGGCTTTAGATTTCTTGAAAATAGTTTACACGTTTTGTTGCGGCGTAAAACAACAAACAGACTTAACCACTTTGACGAAACAAACGAGCACGGGTATGTGTGCCGACAGACCTATAAACTTAATCGGACCGCCTCCGTGGTCTAGGATTTCGATCTCCGGCCGCGCCATACCATGGTCATTTAAAAATGGTACTTGTTGTTATCCTGCCTGGCGCTCGGCATTATGGCTATAAAACAAGTGGTATGCGTTCCTGAAACGTAACCTTAGTTTGCGAGGTGAGGTGAAGTGGAGTTTAACGTCGCGTCCAAGATTATTGCACTTATATAGCGACGTGCATGTACGTGTGTGTGTTTGTGTGTCTGCTTGTACTAGTCCAGACTGATGCCGATTTATAGTGCTAGCTCACTGAGACACCATGCCACAGTTTAACATAAATACCCCACTCAGACACAGTATACTGACTCCGAGCCGACCAGTCCTTGTTTTAGCCCCTTAATTCCGAGCGCCAGACAGGGTAATAACAAGTACAATCTTTTAACGTCTTTTGGTATGACGCAGCCGGGGATCGAACCCCGGACCTTCCGCTCTCCGGGCGGACGCTCTACCACTAGACCACGAAGGCGGTCCCTTAGGTTGTAACGATGACGATTCATCAACAAGATTCATCGGCAAAAGGCGATTGACGGGATCGGGTGGTCAGTGACTTGGTTGATGTATGACATCGTATCCCATGCTCATGATATTAATCTCTGGATTGTTTGGTCTGATTATTTACAGACCACCGTCGTTTAGCTTGAATATTGCTGAGTGCGGCGTTAAACAGCAAACAAAATCTAATTGTCTTTGACGGCATCCCCTCCCAAACTTAAACCGATTAACGATTGGTGGTCCCACCAGCCATGTTATTTGGCCTCTGCGGCCTCCCATCTCTCCAACAGACCATTCATGGTCGGTGGATTTCCTCTTTGCCAGTCCCTTTTGTTAAGATTTTGGGGCAGTGAGTGAGTGAGTGAGTTTGGTTTTATGCCGCTTTTAGCAATATTACAGCAATATCACGGCGGGGGACACCAGAAATGGGCTTCACACATTGTACCCAAGTCGGGAATCAAACCCGGGTCTTCGGCGTGACGAGTGAACGCATTAACCACTAGGCTACCCGACCGCCCCTTTTGGGGCAGTGAATCGTGATAGAGGATACTTATTCTATCGTTAACATGTCTGAACTTTATCATGTGCATTCCAGAGGTATGTCCACACAAATGACAGAGATGTTTCAGTAGAGCTATCAATTATCTGGTGTATGAACATTGTCTATTGTAGCATCGCAAGGTATGATTTATTTGATGTATGATCTGCATTATAACAGTTTGGTTGTTTTTTTCATGACGTCAAACAAACCATTTTGGAAAAGAAAAAAAGGATATCAACTAGGTACAAAATACCTAAGCCTTCAGTGTTAATGACATAAGCGTTCTTGTCTGTCTGCTTACTGTCGTACTTAGCGTTGTTAATACTCAAGACTGGACGACACAGCATAGGTTGCTGAGGACCAGGCCTAGTCAGGAATACCCATGGGGCGACTTCACTTTATAAACAAGTATCTAAATGACACGTTTTGACATGTAGCTAGGCATTGGAGGAACTGCTGGAGTCACATCTGGTCGCCGACGGCCCACCTGTCAAATAACCCGTTTTTACCATGCGACATAATTTGCTTTTATCACCAGTTCAGAACAGTTATTCATAAAGTGAAAAGTGATGTTAGGTTCTATGCAGTGACTAAGAACA